CATTACCTCTAGTTCTGTCGGTGGCCACCACTGAAAAGAGGCCAGGCCCCTCCTCCTCACTGCCTCCCTTGAGGTACTTGTAGACACTGATTAGATCCCCTCTGAGCCTTCTCTTCTCCAGGCTGAACAGGCCCAGCTCCCTCAGCCTCTCCTCGTAGGGCAGATGTTCCAGGCCCCTGATCATCCTTGTTGCCCTGCGCTGGACTCTCTCCAGCAGCTCCACATCCCTCTTGTACTGTGGAGCCCAGAACTGGACACAATACTCCAGATGCGGCCTCACCAGGGCTGAGTAGAGGGGCAGGATCACCTCCCTCGACCTGCTGGAGATGCTCTGCTTAATGCAGCCCAGGATTCCATTGGCCTTCTTGGCCACGAGGGCACACTGCTGCCTCATGGTCAACTTATCACCCACCATGACACCCAGGTCTTTCTCTGCAGAGCTGCTCTCCAAATACCAGAACTATAGCTACCACATAATAGAGCAAAATCAAGAAAGAGCAGCTACTCCTCCCAGTTTCGTGTCATCAGCAAACTTGCTGAGGGAGCACTCTGTGCCTTCATCCAGGTCATTGATGAATAAATTGAACAGGACTGGACCAAGGACTGACCCCTGGGGGACCCCACTAGCCACAGGCCTCCAACTAGACTCTGCACCGCTGATCACCACTCTCTGGGCCCTGCCATCCAGCCAGTTCCTAATCCATCTCACTGTCCACTCATCTATCCCACACTTCCGGAGCTTGCCCAGGAGGATGTTGTGAGGGACGGTGTCAAAAGCCTTGGTGAAGTCGAGATAGACGACATCCACCGCTCTCCCCTCGTCTATCCAGCCGGTCATTTCATCATAGAAGGCTATCAGGTTAGTCAGGCAAGATTTTCCCTTGGTGAATCCATGCTGACTACTCTTGAGCACCTTCTTGTCCTCCATGTGCCTGGAGACAACAGCCAGTATGAGCCGTTCCATCACTTTTCCGGGGACGGAGGTGAGGCTGACTGGCCTGTAGTTGCCTGGGTCCTCCTTCTTGCCTTTTTTGAAGACTGGCGTGACATTGGCCTTCTTCCAGTCTTCCGGCACCTCCCCCGTTCTCCAGGATCTTTCAAAGATGATGGAGAGCGGCTTAGCTATGGCATCTGCCAGCTCCCGGCAGCACTCTGGGGTGCATCCCATCAGGGCCCATGGATTTGTGGGTATCGAGGTTCCTTAGGTGCTCTCTGACCCAATCTTCCTCTACCCAGGGCAAGTCTTCCTCTCCACCCGCTTCTTCTCTTGCCTCTAGGGCCTGGGGCTCTAAAGGGCTGCCCTTGGTAAACACCGAAGCAAAGAAGGCATTGAGCAACTCTGCTTTTTCTGTGTTATTTGTAACCAAGGTGCCCATCCCGTCCTCCAGCGGACCCACGTTTTCCCTGATCTTCCTTTTGCTGTTAATGTATTTGAAGAATTTTTTTTTGTTATTTTTAACGTCCCTTGCCAGCTTGCCTTCCAGCCGTGCCTTAGCTTTCCTTGTCGCATCTCTGCACTCCCTGACTATGTTCCTGTATTTCTCCCAGGGGGCCTGTCCTTTTTTCCACATTCTGTATACTGCTGCCTTCTGCTTGAGCATTGCCACAAGCTCCCGGCTCATCCACGCAGGTCGCCTGCCCCCTCTGCCTGCCTTCCTACACACAGGGATGCACTGTTGCTGGACGTGGAGGAAGTGCCGCTTGAAATCTAACCAGCTCTCTTGGGCCCCCCTTCCTTCTAGAGCACTAGCCCATGGGATTCTTCCGAGGAGGTCTCTGAAGAGGCTAAAGTTGGCCCTCCTGAAGTCCATCGTCGCAAGGCTACTTACAGCCCTGCCTCCTCCTCGTTGAATCCTGAACTCCACCAACTCATGGTCACTGCAGCCGAGGCTACCCCCCACCTTAACATCTCCTACTAGGCCCTCCCTATTTGATAGCACGAGGTCCAGTAGCCCACCTCTCCTCGTCGGCTCCTCCACAACCCGCGTCAAAAAGTTATCGTCGACGATAGAAGTAAGGAAACAGCATGCATTAATAACTCTTGTTTGAAATTCTAGCTTCCAAAGTTCGGAAGGATAAGCCTCCGCTGGCAGTTAGTGTGAAGGGATTTGTGAAGACACTTGAAAATATCTCAGACAATGAAGCTCAGGAGATCCTGGAAGAGAAGTCCTATGTTGCTGTTCTTGGAATACGTGCCCAAGGTGAAGGTAGGGAAGAACCTAACACAGCAGTGACTTTGGGAGATTCCCGCGTTGTACAAGCTCTGCAATTTTGATAAAGTTGCTATTGTTGAGAGGATGGAGAGGGATACTGAGGGCTGGCCTGATCTGACTGTGCTTCTGGTGGAAGGTAGAGGTAGACAATAACAAGCCGGTTTTAAACTATATATATTTTATAATATCTGTTATATAAAGGATCCTTTAAGCTCAATAGTAAAAGTATTCGTTTTCCCTTGGACTGGGAATAAACCAGTGCTTTTTAAATAACTGTAAGTAACATTTCTTTTCACAGAATCGATGGGAAATGGCTCAGGTGTGGGTGGTGGTGAAGTTTACACATTCCAGACTCCAAAACGCTCTGGCAAAATGGCAGAGCTGGGTATGTTTTCCCCTTTCTGCTTTTATTGTTGCTCTAGCTGCTGTTTTCTTGAGTAGCCCTGTTAACATAATTTGTGCATTCATTTGTGCATTGAGAAGATATATTTGGGTTATTTTAGAAAAACAAGACCAAGGTTAGGACATAGAATCGTTTTGGGGGTTGTGACTCAGGTTGATGTTCTTTTGTGCCTATCAGGACCTTATGACTGGTGTTCTAACTTGATGTTGCTTAAACAGTTTGATCTGGGGGGTCCTGGTCTTATTTTCTATATAGTAAGGCCTTTTCACCATACTTTGGTGAACTTGCATGCAAATAAAAACGCCAAGAAAATGGTGGCTTGCTTATCCTAGTGAATATTGAAAAGTTGGGTATTAATTTGAACAAAGCCATTAATTTGCGCATGCAGAATGAGGTCCTTCAGGTTTGTGTTGTTAGTGAGATGGGTACACCTGGCTTACAGTCTAGAGTGCTTCTGTCTAGAAGCTGGACTGCTATGTGAAACATTCCTCATCTGGAAAGTAAAACTTGAAATAGCTACAGACTTAGCCAGTGCAATGTTAACAGTATCCTATTAGGCAGTATGGAAAGCCCTTTGGAAAGCTTAAGTTTATCAGCAAAAGAGTATAGCTATGCAGTAGTGGAATTTTGTTATGTATTAGGGCAAAATACTCATAAAGAAGAAAGTTATTAGTTGACCTAATCACAGAGGAGACCTGTTGATGGAACAGAAGCTGAATAGCAGTTAAGAAGTTGAATAGCGCCAAACTTTATGCCCTGACAGTCTAGGCTGTGATTATGGTTTGGAGATGGATAAACAATATGGAAACCGAGCCCAGCAGGTTTGAAAAATAATAGATTGCAACTCATCAGGCAAGTCATACAGTGCGTTTTCTTGAGGGACTGACATCATGTCCAACTTCAGCTTGTGCTAATAAGTAGTAGAAAAAGGTGAACTGAATATGAGAATTAAGTTTCTGAGGGATTGATGTGTTTGCTATATGTGCTGCTCTACCATGTCCAGTCAAACATTTATTAGAACCTAGGTGGGCACATCCAAAGATTGTTCTAATTTGAAGACAGATGATAGCTACAGAAGCAAAGCTACTCTGCCACCTCCTCAGCTATGCCTGTGGAATGAATGAAGAGTTTGGCTTCTGAGAATTATTTTCAAGTTCAATGTTCATCATCAGGTTTAGGAAAAAGAAGTATCTGGTGCAGTACCTGAACTAGCTGGGAAATGAATACTGAAAAAAAACTGTTTCAACTGTATGATTCCATGGCTGACTAGCCAGAGCTGGGAGTTTTGTGCCTGATGCATGGGACTTCTTCCCTTCATCTCATTTTTTACAGCCTCTGAATTAGCCCGGACACCAGGACAAAGTGAGGTACTTGATCGCGCTGAGTGTCCTGAGAAGACTGTCAAAACCCCCCAAAGCAGCAGTAAGTGCTTTGGGGAAGTGAAGCTGAGTGGCTGGGGGTTATGTTCATGCTTGGGCGGTGAAGCAAACGCTTGGGTGTCAGCTTCTGTTACGCCTGTATGTTCCAGTCAGTGTAACTTTGTAGTAAGCTGCTTTGTGTACATAGCCTCTGCTTCACCTGGGTGGTACATCTTTTACTATTCTGGGAACTTTGGTCTCATCTTTTGCTGTGTCCCTTAACTGATTTCCTGTACCCTAAACCCAAATGTTTACCCTTGAGAGAGTTATGAGGCAGGCTGCTGAGTGAGCATCAAAATGGGTAGGACTGTGTGGGTGTTTGTGTGTAACTTTATACTTTATTATGTAGTATTCAAGTACCCACTGCTGTAAGGAGAGGTACAAGTGGAAGAAGACAGTGCAGATCAGCCTTGGCAAAGGTATCTCACCTGGTGCTCAGAAAGGGAGTTCTGTCTCATGGACAGAAGAACATTCAGCTAAAGCTTTTTCATCTCCACTCCTGCTGGTGGCTTCCCACAGAACTGTGACTAGAAGCAAGTCTGTTTTCTACAGTGATAGCATTGGCTATCTTCATTTTTTTCCTTGCTTATTTCTGGGAAGGTAAGGGTTTCTGCCATAGGACTAGTCGGCTAGTGAGCTGATAATCAGGAGCAGTGTATCTTTGGGTAGTTGTTGCCTGTATTCCTAGTAGAGGATCCCGTGCCACTGTTAGAAATATGTGATATTCTGAACAATGCTGGTTCTTGTCTTGCAGAACATTTGAATTCAAACAAAGCGCAGCAGAAGGTGAGTGACTCTTGGTTTTCTCTTTTTTTTTCTTTTTAATTTTCAAAACTTGAACTTACTAGTTACTACAGTACTGGAGAGGAAGGACCTTGAAGAGCCTCACCCACAGTGAGGCTCTCTTAATCAAGGCAGGCAGGGAGTAATTCAACTGAGCCACCAGAGCTATCCTGAATCAGGATTATGGGATTTAGAGTCAATATGCAAATCAGCAGGTTTGACAGCCTAATTACCATAGTTGAAGACTATACCCTTGCCTCACTCAAATGTAAGTGGTTACCAGTCCCTTAATATGCAGTTAAATTCAGAGTTTTCCAGTTTCTCATCAAAGGAAGCTTAATCTTAAAGGTAGCAGTGCTGTTATAACATAAATTCTGCAGTCATGCTGCTGTTTAGTTTCTTACTTCGGTATTGTTTAAAAAAAAAAAAAAGGCAAAGTGAAATGGGGAGATATTCTAGAGGTTTCGGTTATGGTGGCTCTGAACAAAGTACAGTGAAACAGCTGGTTCTCTAAAGTGGCATAGCATCATACTGGAGGTGGATAAGGCTTTTTCCAGTGTGGGGCTTTAGTATGAAAGAGGCCTGTTAGACACATTGATTTTGAATGCCACATTTACCCCTTGATGAAGCAAGGTTAATGAAGATTATTATCTAAAGGCTGTTTACTATCAAATGTGACTCTTTCTAATATATGGGAGTGTTTTTTGCTGTTACAGAGTAAAAAGAATGAATTTGTGTCCACCACTCCTTACAGACTCAGGAGGAGGCTAGCAGGTAAAGATCAATCTTGGTAGTCAGGTCCCACTGTCACTGGGGAGCTGTGTTTAAGAATGTTTCTCCTGCCCATAAGTTTCTGTTTGACTGTGACTGCTTCATCCTACAGAGACTGTAGAAACATTCTAAGGAAGTTTATTAACTCATTCCTCAAGATATATACCTTTTTTTTTCCCCTCTATAAGAATTACTGTTGAGGAAAGGTGTGGAGGCAATAGAAGCTGGATTACTAAAAATGATCATGAGGCAAAATTGTGAATAATCCTACATATGCTGACACTCAGTAGCTATAGCTCTTAGCCTTTGGGATCTCTGATACTCTTCAGGCTGCAGTCTAGGAGTGAAGGTTATATGGTTATGATGGATCAGCAAATTACTTGAACCTAGTCAAGTTCTAAAACTTTGTATTGATGGTTGCAGTATTCCTGATAAATTATTTCCAAAGACTGGCTGGTTACATGTGTTCAGAATGAATGTAGAGGAGAGTTCTATGCATGATATTTCATGTTTTGTGTCTTGTTTTGTGTTGTGAGAGCATGACTGAGCCAGATTCTGTGCTCTTCAGTCAACATTGTTAACAGAGATCTTTTACAAAACCTTTTTGCAGAGTGTGACCCAGACAGCACACAGTTTGCAGGACTGGCATTTGGGAAAACTCTATTGTAGACATACTAGGAGAAGCAGGGAATTTTGCAGTCCTTTATTAGCCACGTTTCAGAATGGATTTGTGTTTCTCAGTTGGTATCAATGGACAGAGCTTAACATGGTTTTGAATTCAAAAATGGGAAAGAAATGGCCTTGAGTGTTTGCAGTCCTCGTAAGCATTGACTTTACTTTTTTGTTAAGTAGATTTAGGAATTGTATTCTTGGAAAACCTCCATAGAGAACATATGTGAGAGAGAGGGACTGTGCAAAACACAGTATTCTTTGTAAGAAGTCATTGGTAGCTCTTAACCTTAAATTTATCCTCTAGCTCCGGACACTCCTGTAGAGAGTGAGAGTGAATATTCTGCTTCCTGCTCAGAGGAGGAGGAGGAGGAAGAAGAACAGAAAGAATCTAGTACTGTTGTAGCAGGCCGAAAGACACCAGCAAAAACGAAGGCTGCATCTACACCTCTTCCCAAAAAGTCATTATCCAAAAAAGTGAAGGAGGACAAGATGGTGAGTGTGCAGAAATTACACTCCTGAGCTTGCAAGAATAACTTAATGACAGTAAACTGTCAGTGGCCAGGCCTAAATAAGGGAAGAACTACTAAATTTATTTCAAACCAGACCAGCTGGATTAGCTGTTGCTGTGCCTTCCAGCAGTCCTTGCTGTACCTCCATGGAGCAAGAGTCTGGGAGCTAAACCAGTCTGTATCCTCAGCCACTCCAGAAGGAGAAATTCTAGGATGTCTGTGAGACAGGAGTCATTGCACTGAGAAGTGATGAAGAACTATGCTCCTATTGTACCAGAAGAAGTACACTAACCCTACTTTCTCTTTTAGTGTTTACTTTGCGTCAGACTTTCTTCAGCACCAGGGATCACCATACCCTGCAGAACTGTTGCCTTATTCTCTTCTCTTAGAACCTCTTCCCTCTTTCTCTCTCCAGAGGGCAGCTGTCAGGCTGGGTTAGCTTTGGCAGAGCATTACTATAGAGCATTACTATAGAAAAAATACCATTTTTTGTAAATAACATCTGGCTGTCTATTCAGCCTTGCTCTGCATATCTTAATTGCCATTTGCACACATGATTGTAGATGCAGAGAGACAAGGTAACTTGATAACAGGGGAGAGTGGCTGATCTTGCTGTCACTTTTTTCAGAGCAACCTGGTGGAGGAATACTTCGAAGCCCACAGTAGTTCCAAAGTGCTCACCTCAGACCGAACACTGCAGAAACTGCAGAAAAGAAGGTTGAATCAGGTACGCTTCATGGTGAACCAGACTGCTCTCAGAGCTTTTAGTTTCATGGGTATAGGTTTTCCCCTCCGAAACTTCCCGGTGTTGCTATTTTCAGTTTATCTTTGCTGGAGACATTGGTGGTGCTAACTCCGGGTTAGGCAGGGGGTTGGTGGCGAGGAGTTTAAGTATCATGTCTCCTGCTGCTCCTGAGCATGGACAGTGAGAGTGGGCTGTTGCTAATTGGTAGTCCCTGAAACAGTAGGGAAAATGCAGGGACAAAGCACTGCTAGAGTAAGTAGCTGAAAGTTGCAACTGCCAGAAGAGATTAAGGCTGGCTTTTGAAGAAGGAAAAGAAGAAGAAGCAGAGTTGGAGAGCCCTGCATTTAAAAATAACATCAAACCAGCATTTTTGTAAACGAAATGAGTAAGGGGATTACAAGACATCTTGATTGTTGTAGTAGAACATTTGTAGAGAAGATGGAGACATCCATTTTCATCTGCGGGTTACTGGGTAAAGCCCCATGCAGGAGAGGACAGCTCTATATACTGTCACCTTGTTTCTGAAATGCACTTCATTTCAGTTCCTGGGAAACAGGAGCTGTGTATTTCTGGTGGTTAAATTTCTGGACTGCTTTTTTTTCCCATATGCCTCCTTCACAGCTAGTTCCAAGCAAGTGGTTGCACCACGGAGAACCGCTGGGATTGGTGCCTGGGAATCACATAAAATACACATAGTGCCCTCCCATCTGTGACTTTGTTTTTGAACCTGTTTGTGTTTTAAAAGACGGCATATATACAGATTGCCTGGTGCCTGCTGCTGTGTGGAATTACTGCACAGAGAAACATTTGGACTCCTAACAAGTTTTTGCACAACAGCTCTGGAGGGAAATTGGGGTTTTCAGTATTAAATCTACTACTGGCACCAGAGGAGCTGCAGGCTTGGCAGTTCTGTCTCAATGTTTGTCTGAAACATTGCAACTGCCTTTTCTGTTCTTTCGAGGATAAACTGTTTTCTTCTGCAGGGGAGTAGAAAGCAAAGCTGTTAAAATAGGGGGGAGAGAGAGAAAGGACAGTGTAGACTGATGCCATTTGTCATGCCACATTGCAGCTTGAAATATCAACATTCCAGCACATCTGTAAAGCTGAATTAATCCTTTGCTTCTCAATGGTTTTGAAGGCTGTAAATTATTTCCTTTCTGCTGTACCTCTCTTCAAAGGTGATGTCCGTGAGCATACTCTTGTAGTGACAACCACATGAACCATTGCTAAGCTAAGCATGTTGACTAGAATCCTTGCTCCTTTGAACAGGGTTGTGGTCTTGATGTCTTCCTGGTGGAATATTCGGTGCTGTTAAAGGCTCTGAATATGTCTGTTTCTTTAGAATTAGTATTCCCAGACTCAGCAGAAAGAGGTAAAATATGGTGTGATACTGGCATAAATCTTGGTTCTAGTCCTAGTCTGGATAGCATTTCCCCTAGGAAGTTTACTTGCTCTTTGCTTTGTTTCTTCAAAAACATGAAACATGAGTTGTCAGTGAAACTTGTTCTGATCCATAGCTAGAGAGTATATTAAAGGAGTATTTGTAAGGACTTCAGACATCTGTCCTGTCTTTCCCAGATTTAGAAACAGTCGTCTTATCTCTTAATACAGGAAACATTGCGTGACCTTTTGAAAAAAGCTCCTCTTCCCTTTGCTGCTGAAATTAAAGAGCTAAATCAACAGCATGAGTCCCTGTTTTCCAAGTGGATGCTGCAGTTACAGTAAGTATGAAGTGAGAATCAATGAAGAAGCCAAGTAAACAGATACTGCCAGTAAACTTCCCCTCCTGTCAAGAATCATTTAGAGTTAAGGATGAGTTAAGGAATGATCTTTTCCTTAATTTAGTGCTCATGTTTAAAGTTAGGTGCCATTAATTTAGTCCAATATTTCCTGTACACCAGGTGATCAAAGCAAGATCGCAAAAGAGAGAACTTGAAGGTGAGAAAAATGCTGTTTTTTTTTTTTTAAAAAAAAAGAAGTTTGCTTTGAGTGTCTATGGTACTAAATGATATAGGAAGTAGAAATTTCAATGCTGTTGGACACCTTAGCAGGAAAACCTTTGTTGTCTGAGTTTGTGTGTTTGTTAGTGGGAAGGAGAAAAAAATAGTCTTCTAAGAAATGAAATAGTGAAATGGAAGGAGAAAGAATAGTCTTCTAGGAAATTAGTGGAGTTGAATAGAGCTGTTAGACACTGAAGTACCTTGAAGAAGAGAAGGCTTCAGCTTTGAAGTTAAATTTTGAGATAGGAGCAGATGTTGATGAGCAGAAAGCCCCTTGGGAGCTTTACAAGAGAGTACAAAGAGGAATTTGCACTCCACGGGGAGTGATGGAGCGTATGAAAAAGATGGTAACCTCGAAAGTCAGAGCCTTGTTGGAGGAGTTCTCTGCGACTCAGATACCTGAGAAAATGGTTTGTGGCTATGTGACAGGATGAAAGGAACAAATCTAGAGGTGCTGCTGAAGTCAGTGATGCCTTACCTTGGTATCATGTCCAGTTCTGGTTCTTGGAGTAGCCTGACAGTCTTTCTGGTCAAGATGGTGCTTTTACACTCCTAGAATAAAGAGGAAGTGTAAGAACAGTGGCAATTTGCTTTGAAACTCAGACTGTGGATGGGATTTGAAACCCACCTTGTAAATGGGTAGTATACACTTGCTTTTTTTTCTTCTTCTTTTATTTGCGGTGACTCATGGTAAATATTCAATGTAGTCATATGGAGAAGGGGGAAATTCAAATGCTAGTCTAGTCATCATTATTTGAAGATATAGCTCTATACAGTCTTAGAGAATTCTTGGTTCATACCATTTTTGTTCCGTAGACATTTTGTTAAATTGCAGGCTTCTAGCCTGTCAGAACACTTCATTTGCTAGGATGACACATACTTGATTCCTTGAAGCTGACCTTATTTGTCAGCTGTGAGGTGAAAGGAAGCCTGGAGTTGATGAATTCTCTAGAAACATGAAATTTTAAGAGGTAGGATTAGATAGAATCATTTTGCTTAATGAAAACAGGAATGTATGAACCTAAGAGGGATTGTACACTTTGATTTAGTGTATTTGCTCACTTTCTGCAGCTTGGGTTTCAATATCGTGCTCTATGGACTGGGCTCAAAGCGGGATTTGTTAGAGAAGTTTCGTACCTCCCTGCTCCAGGATTCTGTTCACCTTGTGGTTAATGGATATTTCCCCAGCATCACTGTAAGATCAGTAAGTATGGTAAAAGCTCATGGGTTTTCTAATCTTCCTATGTTATAAGTACCAAAAAATCAATAACAATATACCAAATAAGTACCAATTCTAGGAAAAGCTCCCTGCAGCCTAGAACTAACAGACTCTTAAATGAAGAGAAGTTCCCATCTCTTTTAAGAGTTGAAAGAAATTAGCCTGTGCGTTTTCCAGGGAGTCATGATTCCTGTCATTGATATTTACTTATCAGTCTAAAGTCTTATTTTATGCCACTGTTTTGAAAAAGGGTAGCAATTTTAGGCTTATGTGGACAGATTTCAAGAATTGATATTAAAAACCAGATTATCTTCCTCATGATAGCCAAAGGCTGTTTCAGATTTTCTGCAACAGGTCAATAAGTACCAGAGCCCTTCCAGAGAAACACCGGTGACTCTGCAATTTTCTACTCCAGATTTTGAACTCCGTCACAGAGGAAGTACTGGAGCATACTGGGACGTTCCGTAGTCCCCTTGATCAACTTGAATTCATCATGAAGAGGTTTAAAGAAGGTAAAATGACTGACCTTATATATTAAAACAGTAGAATCCACTTACAGTTAGTTCTTACCTCACAGTTTTTATATGGACAGTTACAACCTCTTAGTCTATTTTGACAAATATTTGCTTTCTTGAAGTTTATGCTGCTTCTTAAAAAATATGCACCCGGAATACATGTATATATGTCGGCCAGCTGTTACCTCTGTCAGTGTTTCACCTACAGAGCTTTCTGGAAATAGAGGACATGCGTAATGAACAGGCAGGTTAGAAAAGAGTTCAGAAATAAATTTCACCTACAGAGCTTTCTGGAAATAGAACAGGCAAGTTAGAAAAGAGTTCAGAAATAAACGATAACCAGCATACAGAGTGCTTGCTGAATTCTCTGTGCATGGATTGTACTGCTTGTGTGTGTGTGTACGTACACAAATTCACTTGGGAACCTTAATTGTGCAGGGGATTGTGTTCAAAGATTTGCACTCCATTCTCCATCATTATATTTTGTGTATTTCTGATGGAAGTAGGTGGAAAAGCTGATGAATGACATTCCCCACTTGAATCTGTGTAAGTCAGTCTCATGTGTACTGTACTACAGCTGATTTGATGGGAGTCTGTGAAACCTTCAGTTTCCATTGGTAGTCAAATACGTATTTGCTTTCTGCAAAAAACTGGCCATTCCTCCAGGGTTGCTTCAGGGCTCAGCAAGCAGCGCTTCCCTGGGGATAACTAAGAGCAGGAGCAAGCTACATGGGCACTTTTTAGGAGTACAGTTTATGTTATCCGTGTTAAAAATCTTTTTAACTTCCTCTGAGGGCTCACTGGGAAAAAAAAATTAATGAAGTCAATATACTTTGGATCAAATCCCGAATAGGAAGTATGTTTTCAGGGTGTGAGGAGGAATTTAGAGATTCTAGTCATGTACCTCAAAAACTGCTAAACAAACTGTGCTTAGACTTCCATTTTAAAATACAGTCAAGTGACCTTGAATCCCAAGACTAAAAGGGTGACCAAGGTAATTCCTGGTAAAACATGGAGCAAGTGAAAAGTGGATTATGAGACAAAGTCTTGAGCTGCAGAAAGAACAGTAGTTGTGACGAGAGCTGTAGTACAGTGAACTGAGAGAAAGCCTTTCAGGCTGTGTAAGCAAAGTCATTTGATATTGGAATGATGAAAATAGAGGTGAGCCTGATGAAATATACTTGTCCTAGGCTGCACTGAGTGTTGAAAACCACTTTGTGCACAGTTCCTTTGATCTTTTATTTTTTTTTCCTGACCTTGCAGATTCTTCTCTAGAGCTCTATGTCCTCATTCATAACCTGGACAGCCAAATGTTGAGAGGAGAAAGAAGTCAGCAGATCCTTGCACAGTTATCTTCTCTGCCTAGCATTTACCTCATTGCCTCTATCGATCACATCAATGCGCCTCTCAGTGAGTTCCTTTTGGCCTGATGTTCTTTGTAGCAAAAACAAAAGACTTTACATTCTACTCTGGGGCTGCTGAGCATGTTTCACAAGTGTTAACACTTGATGTGTGAAATAGAGTAATGCTGGCTGAAGCAGCTAGAAACAGTGATTAAATGTAGGGACCCTGTTGAATCAAAAGTGTATAAAGACACTGAAAACTGAACACTTCAGGGTTCCAACAGTCTGATTAATTTATATTCCTCAAGAATATATTGCTTCTTCAGCTCCTGCAGTCGAACCAAGTACATTTTAATATTATTTAATACCTGAGAAAAGCTAAATCTCCCAATTTTTTGTGTTTCTTTTCTTCCTCTCTCTGTTTAGTGTGGGATCAGGCAAAGCTAAGCCTCTACAACTGGCTTTGGTATGAAACAACCACATTTAGTCCTTATGTGGAAGAAACATCTTACGAGAACTCACTTTTAGTGCAGCAGTCTGGATCTTTGGCTTTGAGCTCCTTAACACATGTCCTGCGCAGTCTCACTCCCAATGCCAGGTAAGTTATACTTAACAGCAGCACCTGTGAGCCTCCAGTCCTTGCTGGATTACTCTGGTCGTCAGGTCTGTATTAGCTCTTAGGCATACACACAGCAGGAGGTAGGCCTTGTCTTTGGAAAACAGTCTTTAAGATAAAACAATATGAGTTGTGTTCTAGGTAATGGATTACTTTAAAGGAGCAGAGTTTGGATAGCTGACTTGAAGTCACTAGCTGCATGTACAAAGTCCCTTCCCCGAGAGGGAAAAATCAGTTAATATTTTCTAATGTACCTTTTTCTTTTGATTCCCTCTTTCTTCCTCACACTTAGGGGGATATTCAGATTGCTTGCACAGTACCAGCTGGAGAACAAGGACAACCCATCTTATCCAGGTACCTAAGCAGCTTTTCTTTTCCGCTTGGGGCGGCCTCACTGCCAGCCCAGTCATAGTGGACACTGGTTTCTGTTACCTGGGTTGCATCACCAGCAACAGAAGTGCTGTGACTGCTGGCTCAGTCACAAAATAAAAATATAGGAAGAATCTGAATTTGCATAGCTCTAGTACTTACAGGACCAGGAAAAGACAGGAATTTCTGTTCCCGTTCTGCTCCTAAGTGATTTTTTTTTTGTGTGTCTGAGAAATCTAGGATATGCAAACAGTTATATCACTGCTATGAGCAATAGCTGTAAGCAGTTATTGCAGGTGACATAAGCAACATTTAATTGTAAAGAAAGATGAAAGTAAAACAGGCTGGAAATTGAGAGAGAATCGCCATGTTTAGAAGAGACTTAAATGTTCTATTAGGCAAATAGGGTGGCAGTAACTTTAATCAACTTTTATGTGAATTTCTGAAATACTGGCTTAGTTGTGTACTTGAAGGAAGCGGTGATGTTGTTGCATCCATTATGGTCTTAAGCCAAAGCAGGATTTGCAGGTAAAGGTCATATCCATTGTTAGATGTGGAAAGCTGTTAGGGTCTGCAAGCACTCAGACCTCAGCGAAGTTTTGTGTATCCTTGAAATAAGGCCACTGTACTTGCGCATGAAGTACAGATCAGAACTTTGTTTTGAATTTGTGATCAACTTGAAATGCAGCAGTTTTTCTGTATCTCACTTGATTTTTCTAAACCTGCATTCCCTCCTATCCTGCTGACCACTTGCCAGACAGTGCTTTCCTGATGCAAGAGATGGGAGAAGATGGATGCTTTTTGAATAGTCCTGGGAGGAAAGCAGTGAATGTTCAGAGTCTGACCACTTCAGCTTCTTGTTTTCACCTTTTTCTGTCCCTAGGGCTCTCTTTCCAAGACTTCTACCAGCAGTGTCGGGAGGCGTTCCTCGTGAACAGTGACCTGACACTCAGGGCACAGCTGACAGAATTCAGGGACCACAAGCTCATCCGGACCAAACGGGTGAGTTGCAGGAAGAAGAAATGTTACCTCTCTACGTTAGCTATGTTAACCAGAAATCTATTTGCGTGCTACTAAGTATCCCTGAGGCATAAGTCTGCAGCCCCAAGTGAGGTTTCATTGCTTGAAGCACCTGAGCACCAGCAAAGGGATGAAATTCTGTAATGGCAGCTCCTTCCCTAGTCTGTGAACTTTCTTTAATTGAAAGCACAACATGGTTCAGGTACCTGGCAGCCTGCAGGGCTTTGTGGAATGTAGCTTCATGAAGAGCTTCGGAAGTGACAAGCTCTGGCGTCTTGTCAGTCTTCTTCCTATAGTTACCTTCATTTGCAGGGTTAAAGAGTGTGGGCTAGCCCTAATAAAGAGGCATTGTATCAGCACTGAATCTGGAAACATGCTGTGGAGGAGCTGTGTAGTGGCAAAATAGCATAGCTTGCCAAAAACTTTGACTCTTCCCTGTGCTTGTGCATTTACAGCATTGCTCTAGTGAAATATTCCTGGTTTTAGCATTGTAGTTGTTCTGAATGCTGGCTGGCTCTCACTCACATTGCAAATGAATTAGTGTTGCAGTGCTACCTAGTGGCTACCTACCCGTGTTAACAGAATGTGTACGTGTGTGTGTTCTCAGGGAGCTGATGGTGTGGAATACTTACTGATTCCTGTAGATGACAGTACCTTGACTGACTTCTTGGAGAAAGAAGATGAAGATGTGTAACGTCTCTGTGTTCCCAAAGCAACTATGGCAACTGCTTTCAAGGGTTGCTGGAGAGGGGCCTGTACTCAGATCTCTCTCCCTCCAAGCCCAAAGCTGCTGGACTACTACAATGTAGTATTTTTCTGATGCTCATTGTTCAGCTACTTCAGGTAGTTTGGAATGATGATTTCTACAAGCAAGGCATCTCTTGCTCTGACTTTGATTTGTCTACTTTGTTTGTTTGCTCAGATGAGGTCTTTTTCATAGCTATGCAGCCAAACTTACAGTAAGGAAAACCTGCTCAGTAAGATTGTGCCTTCTGGTTATTACCTCACCAGACATGAGGGTTTAGTTAGAGCAGTTCACTTGTTAAATGCAAACCACCAGATGGTTAGAGCTTTATTTTATACCAGTGATACAGCTTTTCGTGGCTGAGTGCTTTCCAGGACTCCCAATATCAATTAGACAAGACTGGCTTCCCGTATGTGAAGAAGCCAAGGTTTACAATGCTGAGAGATCTGTCTTGACTGCACAAGGAAAGGAACCTAGCAGTGGGTTTGGGCTGTTGTGAGTAATTATTAAATTTTGGTAAGAGAACTGAAGGTCACTCTCCAAATCTGTTCCTTTTACAGGAGGACTTAGATAATAGAAATTGTGATGGTCTTGAATCATTGCCTCTGAGTGAGAGTGGGAGGATCCATTTTGTTTCATCTGCTTTACAACTTGATATCCAGGAACGTAAAGAGGCTGTGGAGTTGATTTGTTTATTTTTAAAAAACTTGCTTGCAGATGTGTATTTTTTACATCAGGAATGTTCATTGATTCTGGAGGAGGCTTTAAGTGCCTGTTACAAGAATTTCCTTTTTGTAGCCCCTAGAGGCTGGGAGACTGCTGTAGTTTCACAGCTTTTCTTCACTGTTTCTCAGGTATGTGGGAATAAACCCTACAGTTTCATCAACTATAGTCTGCCAGCCAGACTTCAGGGACACTTGAACTCTGTGTGTCTAATATATGGTAGCTGTGTTACAGCTTAATGTTGTAATGGGTCAAATCAATCAAATAAAGTACTTTATTAATTTTCACTAGCTTGTGTTGTCTTTCACAAATCTTTTTATTTTGTAGGAAGACAAATGGTCTTCTGTCAGTTGTGTGCATGTGAAAGTCCCGTTTTCACTGTTACTACCATTTTGTCAAAAGTCTGCAAATCATGCACAGATGATTTCAAACTCACTAGCAGAGATATTTTATGCTGTTTCTTCTAAGGCATGAAAATTAAAAATCGTTTGCCTGACTTTTAATACCAATATATGGCTTTTGAAAAGAAACAAAACATTACCTATAATACTGTTAACTGTATTTCCAGTGTTACCTGGCCTATCCCTCACTGACATAAGCAAGAACTTGGGTTTTGTTTGCATTGAAAACACAAATGTCAAATTGATTCTTCTAATATAAGCCCTAATTAGCCTTGCTGGAGGATCTGGTGAGAAAAGGTGGTCCATGCCAGCAACCATCTCAGCAGGACCCTCCACTTTCATGACCCTAAAATATACTGTAACTCACATTATCTTTGATGGCACTTGCATTTTTTTCTTATAGGCTGCCAAATGAAAGCTTTACAAAGTGCAACAGATGCTGCCAACCACCACTTACACTACCCTCAGAACCATCCGGGCAGATGGTTCTGCCCAGGCATCAAGGCACCTAAATTCTGGAAGTTAGGTTCAGATTTAAGGAACCAGTATTCTGCCACTGAAAGCATGTGTTGTTGGAGAAGTTGAAAAGTATCGTAGATAAGAAGCAGCCACTTCCTACTTTGCAGTCCTGTGACTCTCTCCAAGTTCCTGTAAAACTCAGAGTTTTAATTTATAATTTGAATACCTATGGAAAACTCTGTCTAAGGTGCTTACAGATAGTGATGACATTGTCTATTTTCGGTTTTCCATCAAGTTTTCTAGACGTGAAATTTAGTTGGACAAACTGATCTAATCAGCCTGACTTTAGATTTTTTTAGCTAACAGTTCTGGTAGACTATCAAATGCCTAAGCAGGCCAGGAACAGGGCTGCAGGCGTTATCACAGAGCTGCTAAGAGAAAGTTAATTGATATAGTTCTTGGCTGTTCCTGACTGTGAAATCATGCAGACTCAAGACAATTACTGTGAAATAATTCCTTGGATGTTGTGTTAAAATATTTCAGCTTAATTTTGTTCCACTTTGGAATGACGGCCCCAGCTGTGCATTAATTTTCTGCCTCTTGCATTCTGTATGAGGTATTTGAGTCCAGTAGCATTTCAGTGTCTTCTATAGCAATACAGAACTGCTGAACTTGGGGAGATCAGTTCCACAGTCCTTTATAGGAG